TGATGTTTCACAGGGAAGAAAAACAACCCAAGAGGCTGCCCTTCCCGAACAATGGCTCCAAATCCCAACCCTTGAAGGTTCTGTCCCAGACCTGTGGCATGAGCTTGGCCAACTCTGGGATCTTCGGGATCCCTTGGATTTCCTGAGGCATTACTTACAGAGATGTAAACAGAACTTTCTTGGTAGTTTAAAAGTCAAACGGTAGGTACCACTCAAACCCAGCATTCATTCTTGAAGATAGGGTGTGAAAGCCCCAGCATGTGCCACGAAGCCTAGCACTGCTGAGTCTTGGCAAGGGGGAGAGGTAAAGTAGACAAAAGAAGAATAAACCACCAACTCTTGTCAATCTCCATCTACTGGGCGACAGGGAAGAGAGCCAACAATTTTCATCCTGTTTAGCCATCTACTGGTCTTGCAGCCTTATGAAAGTCCCATAACTTTTCTGAATGTTTGGTTTTTCCATATGTAAAAAGAGTACAAGAGCAGCCATCCTAGATTACCTTAAAGATCAATCAGTGAAATAGGGTAAGATTTTAAAGTGTTAATGAACTGTTTAAACACAACACAGATGGATGGGATAACTCCTGATTGTATTCTTCACAGCTGCTCTGACATGGTGAGCAGATGCAATCAATGAACTCACTCCCTTGTTCATCAAACGTAACAATACCTGCTCTGTGGCAGGCCCTGTGCTGGGCACTGCAGGGGGTACGGAAGGGGCAAGACACATCCATGCTCTCAAGGAACACACAATATGAAGAGATAGAAGACTTGAATACACAAGTCTAGCAAACGTTGAATATCACTCTTAAGAAAGGTACACTGAGCAGGTGGCCAGGTGAATTCAGGCCCCTGGCCCCAAGGCCTCATGGTGAGTTCAGAGGGGGTAGGAAGGGATGAAAAACAGCAACAAAAGCACAGGTCCAGGACAGGACGGCAAGAGAGGCGTAAAGAATAGCACAGGTATACTGGGGGTCAAGTCATGAGGGCTGGGAATGCTCAGAGAAGAAGTCACTGGGGAACAAAGGACAGGTTCTGAACAGGGGATGGGCTGAAATCTCCCTTGCAGGATTTCTCTTTCACCTGTGGAAGAGGAGTTGTCACTCACATTACGATACAAATGCGGAAAGGAAGCTGGAGAGAGGAAGTGTCTTAAGGTTACTCAGTGGCCACGCCAGTAGAACGCACTTCAAGTCTGATCAGATTCTGCTGCCTTCTGCAGGGGCCTGATCAGCTCCGTGCACTTCAAGCCTTTTATCAAAGTTCCTCTGTGTGCCAGGCTCCGTGCTAAATATCACGGCCTGCCACGAGTTTCACACAACAGTGCTTCCCTGTGTTTCTCGCTCTAGACACTACAACCACTTCCTCTCCAAACTTACCTCCAAAGACTCAGGCCTAAGGCAACAGCCAGAGGGATCTTTCTAGGGCACATTGCTCCTGTGTTTAACCCCACCCCCTACCCCGCCCCACTATAGCCAACAGGGTAACATCTAGACGGGATGGCCTGCAGCGTCCTCCACAATCAGGCCCAACCTAACTAGACCAAACTCCAAGGCCTACAACTGGGCCCCTATACACTCGACAGCCACACCTCCCATGTTCCCCCTGCCCTTCAGCCATGCTGGCCACCTCTCAGCTCCTCTCCACAGATCCAATCTGCCTAAAACACCAGCACCTTCTTCGCCAAGCTCATTCTTCCTCCTTCTTCAGAGCTCAAGCATCACCTCCCGTCCCCTGACGGATCCTTACTGCCTCCCCTCCCCCAGCACCCCACGTTTCCTTCCCAGTTCTCTCACAGTAGTAATTAGAGCCCGCGTAATCAGCTGTCTGTCGCAGGGCAGGAGCTTCCCCAGGCACAGCACTTCAACGTTTGCTCTCGAACGAAGGAGAACTCTGGCTTAGCCTTCACCTCCCTCCCCGCCCCAAGTGTCATCCGCTAGAAGACTTGCCCCAGTTCGCTGGCAACGCAGGTTGGTTCTCAGCACCCCTACGTTCCCACGACCCCTTTCGAGGCCGCTGTCATGGCCTGTTCACACACGCTCTCCTGCAGAAGACTTGGGGCTTCCCCGGGGCAAGGTTTGCTCTCATCACTCCGGCACCGAGCGCCCCACCGAGGTCGCCGCACTCGGTAGAACTTGGCGAGGGACAGTCCGCGTGAGCCCCAAGCGGCTGCACGGGGGAAGCTGCTGCAGGGACCTTGCCCGGGACCCGCCTCCCCTCCCCCGTAACGGTCCGACCCCAAAGGGACAAGGTCGGCCAAGTTCTCGCCGCCGGCCCTGGTGGCCCTCGGACCCACGAGCCCGGGTCCGGGTCCCGAAGAAGCGAGGAGGCCGAAGTGGCCTGGATGGCTGAGGAGCGCAGCCGAAACGAAAAGCTTCTGCTGTAGCACAGCCACCGAAGCTGGGTGACTCGGGCGAGCAACTACCCCCCGGATAGAGTCCTCCCACCCTCAGCCGAGCGAGGCGGACAACACGGGCTCCCGCGAGAACTGGCGGGGGAAGAGGAGCCGCGGGCTCCACACAGCCCCTGGCACTAGGCCGCGTCCACAGTCGGGCTGGGAGACCGCGCTCCCGCCTCCGGAGCGGCACTCGGACCTAGTCTCACCTCAGACTCCGGCTCCGGGACTCACTCACCTCACGGCCCCTCCTACCTCAGCAGGCCGCCCAGCCTCATCCGCCCTCACTTCCGCTGACCCGCCCCCGGAAGCGATCAATCGCGCCTGCGCACCGAGCGGCGAGCCCCCGCGCGCCCTCGGAAGGCGGACCGCGGTTTCGGCGGGGGCGGGGCGGGGCGGGGCGGGGCGGGGCGGGGCTGCCGGCGACCTCACGCGGGGATCCCGAGGAAGGGGACACGCCCACCCCCAAGACCACGCCCGCACTGGCCCAGGCCTTGGGAAAAGTTGACGGAGCTTGGAGATCCCCGCGGCCTAATTGGCCGCTTCCGCCACTGGTCTCCGCCTCCTTGCTCTTCTCCTAGGGTAGTCCTGATCCGACCTCTAGCGGCGGAGGCCTGACTGCATCTCTGCCCAGACCCCAAATTGTGTGGCGTCTGCTGTCCCTCCGCTTAGGCACACTTGAGAATCCTTCCCCTGGCGTTCCAGGCCCTCCGGACCTACCTCTTGCCTCGCCTCATCTCGCCTGTCCGCTTTTCACACTTATAGCTTCCCAGCCAAGATCCTCTACGGTCTTCTGTCCAACAAGAAGCCTCTTTCTCCTCTGACTACTGCCCTTTAGCTCTTCGTAGTTTGCTCGCTCTTTCTCTCTCTCTCTCTCTCTCTCTCTCTCACACACACACACACACACACACACACACACGGTAGATTCAGTGAGATAGTAGATCGATGGGCAGGACGCCAGAGGCACTGGGACAGAGACCCACATTCCTTCCAGGCTCACTCACCCACTCCATCTTCCCGCTTAGACAACACCCCCCACCCCCATCCCCGTCCTGGTCCTAGTCCTGGTCTCCATGGCATCCAGGCCTGGGTCACGTGCTCTCCTCTGCCCTCAGTATGCAGCTGTGCCTGGCTCCCCGGCCGCAGTTCTTGGGTCTCAAAGCCTGCAATCCCAGCTGCCAGCGGACAGGCTGGCTTCACAGCGGGGACAGGGTCGGGCAGTACACACAGGACCTCTTGCTCAGAACTCCGCACTTGCTTTAACACTCTGCTGTTGCCCTCTTTAATGTGTGTGTGTCTAAATTAACAGGGGCCCTGCAGTTTTCAGTTTGCACTAGATCCTGCAAATTACATACAGCTGTCCTAGCCAGGGACCTCAGCGGTCCCTGATCCTTACCCTATTTCAAATGACGAGGACTGACTTCCAGGTGCAGCCTTCTTTCCAGGATGGCAAATTGTTGTTTAATCATTGATTCTCCTCCCTGGTCAATGGCAGATCTTGCAGATCACCCTTTCCTGGGGGTGCTAGATGCTGCCTTGGTGCTCCATCCAGATCACCTCTACCCTCCCAGCGAACCCACCTTCCGGCTGCTGTGCCGGCTTCACACAGCTGCCCCCTTCTCTGGAAAATTGCACTTACAACAGGGAGCCCACAGGCCCTAACCTGGGAATTTACTCCACCTCCCAAGACAATGACTGACTGACACAGGGTACCAAAGACAGGTTGTACTCTGTGGTGAGGCTTATGTTCCAGAACCCTTCCACCGTGATCATGCCCAGGCTAGGATTTGAGACTCTATTCCTGCTTAACATCTTTCCTTCCCCCATTCTTCATTACTCCTTTCTTTTAATTAAAAAAAAAAAAATTAAGGCTTTTTAAAAAGAGATTTTATTTATTTAAAGTAAGTTTTACACCCAACATGGGTCTTGAACTCACAACCTTGAGATCAAGAGTCACATGCTCCTGCAACTGAGCCAGCTAGGCTCCCCTTTTTCACCTCTTCTTATACAGGTTTTTTCCTGAAGCGTACTCCCTTAAAAAAAAATAAAAAATTACCTAAGGCCTACCTTAGGCTCTGTTTCTAAGAAATGGGTAATTAACTTCGGAATCTTTCTCATCAGATTCTAAAAACAGTACTAAGTTCTACAACTAGGTCTATCACAAACTTACTTTAAGAACATCACTTGAGCCCTCTAGTGACAGAAGATAGTCCCCAAAGGCATTCCAGTCATGTTCCCTTACCCATCTGCCAAGCCAACCCCACAGAGGAGTCAGACCAAGGATAGAACTGACCAATATCCCATTGAAAGGAAAGGCACTTAGAACCACCCTAGTCTCTCTAATTTTATTATAGGACGTGTGAGGAGGGGAGGGAAGTGACAGGTGACAGGAGTGAGCTGGGGGCCCTCCCCCACCATAAGCTTCAAGATACAGTTGCGTTGGGGGGGCGGGTGTCAGGAAGAGGCTTGAGATGAAGATCAAAAAGCCAAGGCAATCAGTGCCTTACATGGAACAAGGATTGCTCAGTGTGCGGGGGACCCTCCTGGACCCGCACGAGGGGAAGAGGCTACTGGGCGGCAAGGCTGTCTCTGCTGACACGGTGGCTCATGGGGCTGGTTATGCCACCCAGGCCTGGAAGCTGGGAGACAGACTCTGGTGCCCCCCTCCCTGTACGAGGCATGGGAGCACTGCCTCCCGGAAGGACACAACTTGGTTGAGCTTGCTGGCTCATGCCTCCTCGGGTCTGGAGATCAGAGGGGAGTGAGACATTTTGGTCTGAAAGGCTTTCTTTTTCACCTCAGTGAAGATGGGCAGGGGGGAGAGGTTGGCTGCTGTGCAAAGCAAAACCCTCCAAAATCGAGACAGGCTGAGTCTCATCTCTTCCTCTCGGTGACCTTGGGCACGTCCCTTAACTTCCCTGAGACTCAGTTTCTTCATCTGCAACAGGGGAACAATTCATATCTGCCTCACAGTTTTTTGGGGGAGGATTAAATGAGAAAATATGAGTCATGTTAACAGAGTGCCCCGCTGGAGAAGGCTCAGAATGGACACTTCAGGGGCAGATGGGAGAACTCAGCGGAGGGCAGGCCTGGGAGTGTGTCTGAGGAGATGTCTGCCTTCCTCTTCCAGGTTTAAGAGTGAGCTTCTGTGGGGGCAGGTGCTGGGGAGCAGGCATGGCTCCAAGGCTTTAATGAAAGCCCAAGGAGCACTCATGGGCCTGAATGGGGGACAAGGATAGAGTTGGGGGTACATTGGCCTTTTTTAAAAAGCTGGAAGAAAAGGAAGAGAGGACTGTTTCTTCCTGGAGGTGCGGCTGCGAAGACATCAAGCTGGACCCATCTAGGATTTCAGATCCAGCCATCATGGAGCTGCTGCTGCGGGAAGACACGGCCCCTTCTTTCTCCTCAGCATTGGGGTTATCAAAAATACCTACAAACTGTGAGAAACTTCACACAAAAACACTTTTCTGCACATATAAAAAAGACCGGCTGTGGTCAGTTGGCTGGGATGTAGACCAAGTCCCTAAGAGAGGCCAAGGAGGGTCAGTGGCCACTTGGTGGTAGGCAAGCTGGCCTGGGCTGGTCTGGCCTGCCCCGACAGCTGGGGCAGCACCAGCTGGGGTGGGGGGTGGGGTGGGCTGTGTTCTTTGGCTGAGCTACACTTCTGTGGAGCCAGGGTCTGAGGGGCAGGAGGCGGGCTCCAGTCGTCCCACTGCGACCCTTGCTGGGGTAGGCACTTAGGGGTGCCTTGGCCCTGGGCATCAGGAACCCCTCAGTGGCCTCCCTTGCTAAGAGCAGAAGCCTACTTCACAGTGACCCTCTCCAGACAGCTGGCCTCCAGCAAGTCCCAAAGTAGGGGCTGGGGTCCTCTCATTAGGTTGGAGAGTGGTGTGGGGAGCTGAGGTCCTGGGTACAGCGGATTCTCCTTCTGAAGGATGGCTTTGCCCTGAACCTCCAGAAGGCTGTCTCCAACTGAAACTCACCCCACCGGGGGACACCAGGCAGAGGAAGACAGCCAGGAAGGAGGCTCCAAACAAGAGTGCTTCCCGGGCAACCTTTCCTTAGCCCCCAGTCCAGGGTCCCCTGATGTTTCTTTTGAGAGGTGGGGACTGTAAGGAGAGAGAGGTGGCCCAGTCTTCCTAGCACCACTCCTCCCTGATCTTCACCCCACAAGGACCTGGACTATGTGCCCAAGGGGGTGAGGTCCAGGGAGATGATCCGAGGCCCCGTTTCCGGTATCCTGAGCAGCTTCTGGAACCATGTGGGTAGTAAAGGGCTAATGGTGGCAGCTGGAGCCAGAGGCTCATCTGTCCAGTCAGCCCAGGTGCTCCCCTGTCTCCCCCTCATTGACCTCAGGTCCCATGGGCAGCCTGGGAGTAGCAGGGGTGGGAGTGCAAGGACCATGGGCTCCAGGCCTGAGGGGCCTGGCTTCAGGACTGGAAGCCTTTCTGTGAGCTCCCCCCACTCCTGCCTGGTCTCCCACGGCCTGAGGGCGCACTAGGGCTGGAGGAGGGGCAGGCCACGCCGAAGGCCCTCCTTCAGGAACTGCATATAGGTGGCTGTGGACGGGTCTTCAAAGGTGGACGAGAAGCTGAAGACGTTGTTCTCAACATCCTCGGGCTTCATGGAGGTGATGTCCAAGAAGTAGTTGGCATTAATGTGGTGGACCTGGGAGAGGGGTTGGGTGAGGAGAGCGAGGGGTCCGGCCCTTCCCCCATCCCGTATCTGGGCACACAAGCTCTGCAAGTCTGCAAGCTCTCCCACACCCCATCTACTGGCGAGAACTTAACACCTCTCCCCTTCCCCCATCCCGCCCCCCACCCCCTCTTCTCCTCTGCTCCTGTGACCCTGAACTCCACACTCCCTTCTGCCAAAATTCCCCTGCTCTATGTGCCTGCTTCCCCCGCTGCCTCTCACCCTGGCTGGCCAGCTCCTTAAGGGCAGGTGCCCGGCACACGAGCCAAGAAACAAGGGGACAAGCGGGACAGCGCAATCCCCAGGCTGGGTTCTGTCCACCAGGCTCTGTGATGCCAGGGCTCTGCCAGGGCCGGGCCCCACCAGGCTGAGCGCCAGTGAGCCAGTGGCCCTCTTCCCGGCCAGCCTCAACTCTTGCTCCCCCTGTTGAGAGCCTGGGGAAGGTGATGACCCTCCCACAGCCTTCAGTCCCCCACTAACTGTCCCTCGGGACTCAAACGGTAAGAGGCAGGAGACACTGAGGCTCCCATGCAGGTCCGGTTTCAAAACCAGCTGCACTTCTTAATCGTTCAACTTCCACCAAGTCTCTGGACCTTCTTGAGCCTCAGTTTCCTTGTTTGTAAAATGGGCACCCGTGATTGTTCCTCTCCCAAAGCGGCGTGAGACCCCAGTGAGAGGCTGTGTGTGAGAGCTTGTCGGGGCCCCTGGGGAGAGGTAGGGTCTTGCGGCTTGGCTCGGCCTGGGGCCCCTTGGTCCTCTCTGCTTGTCACGAGGCCTGGCCCCTCTGTCCTCCTTCCATCCCAGAGCTGGCCACAGTGGTCCAGGGTGAGCTTTCCCTCCCAGGCCACGTTCCTATCCATTCTGCTGCTAGCCTATGCTCCTGGCTTCCCAGTCCCCAAAGGGCTGTCGAGGTCCCCCTTCTCGTGGGAGTGTCTCAACCCCTGTATGGGGCAGGCAGAGTGGGTGTGACAATTCCTATTTTACAGGTGGGCACAAGGGAGGCTCAGACCGGCTAGGAGAACAGCAGGAAGCCGGGGAGCCAGCTGGGAAGCCTGAGGTCTCTAAGTCCTCATCCCTGGCTGGCTTGCAGCTTCCCCTGCCCCACGACGCCGGGCCCGTCTGGGGGAAGGTACCGGGGGCGGCCTACCACGGTGCCGTTGGGCAGACAGATCATCATTTCCACGGGGAAGCTGTACTTCTCCAGGTGCAGGTCAGCTAGCTTCTTGTGGGATGGGTTCTCCTGGCTGTCCTGTGGGGACACATGGCACACTCCTGATGCCTCCACTGCGGGCCCTGTCCCCAGGGCTCCCGTGGGGCTGTTCCCACCCCCCGCCACTCACCTGCAGGTCTTCCAGCTCCCTCACCAGGGACCAAGTGCTAATGAAGCTCTCGTTGAGGAGGGCGATGATGGGCGAACTTTCCAGGACAGTCTCCCGGAGAGTCCGCCCTGAACCTTTTCGGGGGACAGCAAGGCGAGAAGGGTGAGGCCATTCCACGTGTCTTACTGGGTTTTCCATCAGCGACAACCCTCATGGGCTGTAGGGCTGTCTGTGCGCCCCAGTAAAGTAACAGATTCAAAGAGCCTGCCACAGGGTAGGTGCTAAGTAGAGGGTCGCTCTGATTACAGTCAGTGACATTGGGGCATCCTGGGCTGAGATGGGGTGGTGGCGGGACTGAGGGGAGGCAGACAGACGGACAGCAGCCTCAGCCCAGGGACCTGCAGACAGTGACAGCTTCTTAAATTCACTAAACTCTAGGACCCAGGGCCTCTGCATAGGTTATTCTACCTAAAACTCCTTCCTCCTGCCACTTGATAAACTTCTACTCCTCCTCCGAAATCTCAGCTATGATCACCGTCTCTGAGACACCTCCCTGGTCTTGTGCCACCCTGGACCTTGCCCCGTGTGACGCTCACCACGCTTGTCTTCATTCAACGCCCGCCTTCTACACACACACGGCTCCCCAAGGACAGGGACCACTTCTGACATGACTCCCAGCACCCAGGCGACGGGCCTGGCACAGGGGGTGCCCGGGGTGTTTGTGGATTGACTGGATACAGGCAGGGGCATGGTCTTACTCATCTTTGTACCTGCTGTCAGACACCCCCAATCTCTGTGTCCCCTAGATTCTTAGGTGCATCTTCTGAATAAGTGAACGTATGGCCAGCCTCCGGCACTGTTCTCTATCTTATTTGTGTGCAACACTTCATGGAGCACGGGCGCTCTTAACACCCATTTTCACACATCTGGGGTAAGTGTATTAGCCCTAGAAAACGAAGGCTCAAGGTGGGGAAACCACTTGGCCAAGGTCTCCACGCTGCAGATGGCTGAGTGGGGCTCTCCCTACTGTGAACGGCAGCTTCTTCTGAGCTCGGCACAGAACACCCCCACACCCCTGCCCTGTGTAGTCCCCAAGGCCCCCATGCCCCAACAGGACAGCTCCATTGGTCTTGGAGCCTCCTGCATCCCACAAGGTGTGATGTCTCATTCTCTCAGCCTGGCGGGGTCTCCCTCACCTCAGCAGGACTGGTCATCCAGGGCCCCCCACAGCAGAATGGAGTGCACCAGCTTGTTCTTGGCCTTGGCTTGGTCGAAGGCCTCGGTGAATGGCAGATAGGTGACCTGGGGCCAACGGGAGACACAGAGAAGCTACTGCGGGCAGCTAGGTTCCTACTCAGGAGCTGTGTGTGCCGTGCGTGTTTGTGCATGTGTGTGTGAGTGAGAGAGAGACTGAGAAACTGGCTGGGTCAGCAGATGCCTCCTGTCAAGTTTGGAATGGCAAAAAAGGCCCCGCTCGTATAGGCTGGGCCAGGCAGGGAGGTGGTCTCAGCAGCAAGCCCTGTACCCAGCCTGGAATCAGGTGCCCCCCCCCCCCCCCCCGGTTCCTCCAGCTCTGGCCACACAGAGCTCGGCCCTGGCTCTCACACCCATCCAGGCCCACCTTCTTGAAGGGGTACATGGCCACCTCCAGGCGCCGGGCGGCCTCCTCCCAGCTCAGCTCCTGCTGCCACTTGATCTCTTCAAACACAAACTGGAGGGGCTCCCCTGAGGGCGGCCGGCTGTCAATCATGTTGCCGTCCTCATCCAGGATCATGGAGGGCACTGACGGGCCCAGGGCCTCCAGCTCCATCTAGATCCCGGATCAGGAGAGGGTGCCATCAGTGAGGGTATCTCAGAGATGGGAAGGAATCCTTGACAGACCCTCAAAGATACCCCCCTCAAGGCAAAAGTGGAGGAACTGAGGCCCGGGGCAGGGCCACTGCTGGGCTGCGGTGAGTCTGGGACAGATTCAGGGTCCGTCCAGGGCTCCTTCGACCGCATGAGGCCGTATGAGGGCTGATGGCAGCTGCTGGCTTTTCTGTGCCAACACGTAGATCAGGTAGAGTCCCAGAAACCTGCTTTGGGGACAGCTGGCCTCAGCCCAGCAGGAGCTCTATCCTTCACCCGGACTGCCTGTGGCCCCCAGCCCTGCGGACCTGGGTCAGGGCCCTTTGTGTGCTCACTTGGGGGATGTAGCCAATGTCCACCTCCATGTTGCTGCTCTCACTGGCCCCATACAGCCACTCCATGTCCACGTTCAGAGACCTGGCGGGGGGTGCGGGGGAGGGGGAAGAACACCTTCATCACCAAGGCCCATGTCAACCTTCTCTGAGAGCACACAACCCTCCCCATTTTACAGATGAGAACACTGAGGCTTGATAAGATGAACCCAAGGTCTTGGGGCCACTGGGACTCTGACTGCAGAGCCTGGGCCCTCTTCTGTCCCTGGGCTGCCTCTTTGGAAGCACAGCAGCCACACCACACTCAGCGGGTCCAGCCCCTTACAGTTCACAAAAGGCTTTCACAGCCGTGTCTCACATGCTGCCCATGGCTTTTTGAAGCGGAAAGATCATCAGTGTCTCCCCCAGGACACAGAGAGGGTCAGGCATCAGAGCCTGGCGCCTGCCTCCCTGAGCCGGCCTCCCCGGCTGAAGTCTGGCCCCACCACATGCCATCTGCAGATCGGCCACATGAGGGCGCCCCAGGACCGACAGCCAACCTCCTGGGGCCAGGTGAGCAGGCCTCGGAGGAGGTGGGCAGCCCTGTGGTGCTGGAGACAGGCTCAGGAGCAGCAGTTCCTGGGGCTGGTCATTTGCCCCTGCTCTGTTTCATCAAAACAGGACCTCCACCTCCACTCCTGGGGTGCAGGCAGATGTGCTCGGGGCTGAGCCTGTGCGGTCGAGGTGGGGAGGGGGACTTGCTTGCTGAGGAAGGGGAAGGAAACCACTCCTGCTCCTGGGGGCAACTTTCTCTTCCCAGGCTCTCCCAACAATCCCTTCACTCGTGCCCAGGAGCCATTCTCCTATCTAGCAGATGAAGAAACAGGCCCAGAGATGGCCAGCGCCCTGCCAGCAGCCATGCCACGGTGGAGACTTAACTTTGGGGCTCTCAGCTCCCAGCCAAGCTCTTGTCCCTGTCCTGGGTCACTCAGACCCACTAGGCAGCCACTTGCTATCAGGGAGGAATCTGGAAAGACATGAAGCCAGGCCTTCTGGTCCCATGCTCCCAGGACAAGAGGCTGACCCTAAGTAGGCAGGGCATGCAGGCAGGTGGCTGGCATTGAGCCCTCCCAAAAGGCCCTTCCCTCCACACCCTGGGGCCTATGGGAGCAACTGCAGGCAGTCAGGGCCTGCCCCCAGGACCACATGCGCTGCTCCCGTTGCCTGGCTAAACCCTCCTCACCCCCATCTCCTGCCCCATCCAGGTCTCTGTTTCCATGTCTCTTCCTCTGGGAAGGCTTCCTGGACTCTAGTCCCTGCCCAGCTGCCAGCACTCGGGGGCTGTGCACAGGCTGTGGTCACGGGTCTGTGGGAGGTCTGTCACCAGTGTGAGGGTGTTAGGCTCCTGCTTGGGGGACAGTCTGCTGCACTGGGTCCCAGGCACAGAGCTGGCCATCCAGGCCAACTGGGACATGGTTGCCAGATGATGGAATGATCCACCTCCGCTCACCTCAAGCTCTCTGCTCCTGGGTCAGCTCTAGGCCCCTTCCAAGAGAGGTGCCTCTGGGGAGCAAAGGAGGGGCAGAGATGGAGGAGGCCTCTGGGCCCCTGCACCTGAGCTCCTGGAGCTGGGAGGAGGGGAGAGTGGGGCTAAGTACAGTGGGGTGCAGGGCTGGTTCGGGGCCAAGGCTCCCACCTGTGGTTGGGCACGAAGAGCCGGAAGTCTCGGATGTGAGTGGCATCTTTGGAGAGAATGATGTGGCCAGTGAACTGGCCAGGTGAAAACCAGAAGGGGAAGTCAGGCGGCTCGCTGAGCTGGAACTCGGCATGGATCCTGGGGGGAAAGGAGCCTGGCTGGGAGCAGCCCCTGCTGAGCCACGGCCCACCCTGCTGCTTTGGTGCCCAAGCTGGTGAGCCCTTTGCCAGACTCTCCAGGGAAGGAGAGGGCTGGGCAGGGGAGGAAGGAGAATGTGTGGGGCAGGGAGAAGCCACGAGGCCTTCCAAGCGCTGCCCATCCTCAGGGACCGGGTCACACGCAGCCTTCCCCGCCGGCCTCGCTTGACCAGCCCTCCTCTGAGCCCTCACAGCTCCAGCAGCTGGCGTCACAGCTCCTACATGCCCCCTTCTGGGTCAATAACAATCAGGGCTGCCAGCCTCATGCTAAGCATGCCCCAAGCTTTCCCCCTACCCCCAGGAGGAGCCACCCCCCCCATCCTCAGATGAGGAAACTGAGGCCCAGAGAGCCAACGCGACTTGCCCAAGGCCAGAGGGTAGGACATGGTGGCCCTGGGGGCTTCTGGGCGGGCCTTGCCCTCACAGGGCCGTGCCCTTCCATGCTTCGCTGGGGTCCCCAGCCTGGCGGAGAGGCCAGGAGGGGTGTCTGAGGGCTACACACCGGAACATCACAGTGTAGTAGAAGTCACTGATGGCCGTCAGGCAGGCTACGGCCCCCTGAGGGGCAAAGCGCGTCTTCACGAAGGGCCGCGGGTGGAACATGCTCAGGAGCCGGTGGATGATGACCTGGGGGGCGGGGGGTGCAGTGAAGACCCGTGTCGGCTTGCTGGGTCCGGATCCCCCAGGAGTGCTCTGGGCCTGCAGGCCGGGGGCCCTGGGAGGGGGCCGGGGTCCAGGCGCTGAGCCATGCGGGGCGGAGGCAGAGGGGGTCGTGCCTGGCTGGGGCTGCAGCGTTGGGGGGATCCCCGCCAGGGCTCACTGTGGGCGGCCCTCACCTCTTTGCCCTTGGGCGGCGGTGGGTAGAAGCGGTTGTTGGACAAGTAGCCGGTGAAGACGCTCAGCTCGCTGGGGACGATCCACCAGGGCTCCCCGAGCTCCACCTGGCCCCGGGGGGGCAGGAAGGGCCGGAAGTGGCGGGCGGCGAACACCGCGCTTGGCAAGGCTGCAGTCGTCCAGTTGCGGAGGCCGGACAGGGCCAGGCGGGAGACCTGGGGTGGGGCAAAGCCAGAGCTCTGGGGTGCCCCAGAACCACACATGCTGGCGGTCTCCCTGGAGCCCTGAGCCAGCCCACCAGCGAAGGGAGGTGTGAGTCCCAGGGATGCTTTTGTCTTGGGGACGGCCAGAGGCCGGGCACTGTCCTGCCAGAGCCGAGGCTCCCCTCAGCTCCCCGGCCCCCAACAGCACCCCCTTGGCCACCTCAGGCGCAGCCCAGACCAGAGCGACGACGGGGTCAGCTGGGACTGGTGCAGGGGGAGGCGCGGGAGGCGGAGGCTCTGTGCAGGGGCCCTGCCGGCCTCTTCCCTCCCTCGTCAAGCCCAGTCCCATGGTTCCAGGCCTCATGGACACATGGTCCTGCCTCCTGCCTCTGTGCCAGCTGGCCTGAGTGCCACCACCTGCCACCCCCTCCACTAGCCTTGCCTTCTCCCTGACCTTCTCTCCAAGTCTCCTCCTGGGGCTCATGTCCCACTGAAGAGGCTTTGGGGAGAAGTCTGAGGAGAGAGGTGGACACCACCTTTTGGGGGAAATCTGTGGGGTAAGGAGCAGGATGCACCTGCCTAGAAGGGGAAGGAAGGTCTCCCCTGGAGAGTCCCCCGTACCACGCAGCCAGGCACCTGGCATACCTGGCGTCCCTCAGCTGTTTCCCTGTCAGGAAGGCCCCGTCACCATCAGGGGAGCTGAAGCATGGGACAGGCCCATCTGTCCACACCTCTGGGCCACCGAGGCAGGACCCAGGGCACGTCCTAAGCTGGCAGCTGCCCCTTCTGCGCCCCTCCCCGCCACAGGCAGGACGTCGGTGGGGGCAACGGAGGTGTCAGCTGGGAGGACAGCATGTTCTGGGCCCCTTCAGGGGTGCTCCGTCACCAGGGAGCTGCCAGGTGTCCGAGGGCATCAGGCTCCCTCTCCCTTCCCCGCCAGGAGGTCCTCAGAGCTACCCCCAAGAAGACTGAGCAGGCGGGCGGTCTCCAAGCTGGGCAGGCTGTGCCGCACCAGGGGGAGCCGCCTTACCCATGGGGTCCTGCCACCCCGCAGGGGAGCTGCCCACAAAGGGAGGCTGCGCTCTTTGGAGAGCTGCTCCTGACCCATCTTCCCTCCAAGTGCAGCTGTGCCCTGGCACCCCACCAGTCCCGCCCTGTCCTCACGGCTCTGGGGGGGACTCATCTATTCGGACTTCTACCACCAAGTCTCCCTGCCAGCCTTCCCTCCCCAGATGCTCGTGGGAGACCAAACCTGTGTTTCCAACCTCACTTACTGGACTGTCCCCCTGAACAGCCCCAGGCACCTCGACTTCAGTGTGTCCAGACTGAGCTCATTTGCTCCCCTCCAGACCCATTCCCTCCTCTGGTCCCCATGGGGCAAATGGCCCCCCCTGTGCTTGGTCACCATCCAGAAGCCTGAGCTCCCCCTCTACTTCCCTCCCCTGCTTTCCATTAGTAGCCATGACCTGTCTTCCTTCCTTTCCCAGCATCCTCTAGGCTGTCCTAGGAATCACCACTGCCTCCCCCGACTGCCTCCTCCTCCCCCCTAAGAACCAGTCTTCTTGCCCCCATTTCTCCCCAGACTGTGGAGCATCCGAGCAGCTAACGAGGGAGCCCTCCTATTTCAAAATCTGCTTTGGTAATTTGCTGCTACAGAATGAAGGCCAAAGTCAGGCAACGAAGGCCCTTTGCAGTCTGGTGACTTCTCTTCCAGCCCCACTGACCAGGACGCCCCTGCCTGTGTCCCATGGGCTCTGAGTCCAGCCACACCAGCTCTCTGTCCATAGGCGACTGGCCCGCCACTTCCTGCCTTCAGACCTCTGTTCATGCTGCAGTGGCCTTTCACAGGAGACCGAAAGTGAGTAGGTGTGGGCTGGACTAAGCAGAAAAGTTGCTCCTGGCAGAGGGAACAGCATCCGAGAAGGCCCACAGCTGGAAGAAAGCCTGGACATCTGGAGGGGCTGGAACAGAGCTAGCTGAGGGGGGAGGGCAGGGAAGGCAGGAGGCTGTGGGTGTGCCTCGGGGCCAGGATGGGCTTGAGACCTTGGCCAGGAGGCGTCAGATTGGGGCAGGGCCGCTCAGGAGAGCTTTTGTCAGGCACCCTCCCCCTCCCCACGACCCCTGCTGGGGCTGAACCTCAGGTTTGGTTCTTCAGAGATCAGCACAGCACCTGTCAGGTGCCCAGGGCATGAGGAAGCACAGAGCTTATGCATCACAGGCCTTGCCCTCAAGAAACTCACAGCCTGGGGCGGGGGCGGGGTGCGGGAGAGACTGACTTGAGGAAAGTAATGATCCTACGGGAGGCTCCTGCCTCAATCCTGCCTCCAGGGCCTGCGCTGCCTCCTCTTCTACCTCTGCCTCCCCTGGCTCGGCCCCCTCCTCCTGCAGTCTCTACCAGATGGCACTGCCTCCAGGAAGCCAGTCCAGATCTCTTCTGGGTTAGCGGCTCATGCTTATCCCTCCTGCACCAGACTGTGTCTCAAACAACAGGGTCAGCATCACACCCATTTCTGGACCCCCCAGGGTCTGGCACACTGGGGACACAGAGGGCAGCTAATCAAGGCAGGCAGGGAAGAGGCAAAGAGAAGCAGAGCCTATTCTCGGGAGGTGAGTGCGCACAGATGGTCCTGTGTCTGCGGTCCCACCTGTGGGCAGCCTCCACCGCCCCCCACTCACACTCACCCCCAGGAACCCGTCTTTGCTCTTGGTCATGGACTCTGGGATCAGAGGCTGGAATCGGGCTTCTATGGTGAGCGTCTCCTCGCTGGGGTCAAGGGGCAGCTCCTCCTCTTCATAGCTGGCCGCAGGCGTTGACCCTGGGAGGCACAGTTGCTGGAGAGGGGTCCGGCCCTCCGGCTGCAGGCCATCTCTTCTCTGCAGAAGTCTACCCTCCCGCCCCCACCTGCACTGGAAGGTGATTTAAGGGAGCCACGCTTAGAGCTGGAGTAATGGGTAACAATGACCAAAGTAACAACCAATAAGTATCCCATTTTAGGTTCATAGTAGTCCCGAGAGGCAAACAATAACATCATTACCAAGACCATTTTACACATGAGAGAGTGGAGGCTCAGAGAGGTGAAGTCACTTCCCGAAGGTCACACAGCTAGGGAGTGGGGCGGGGGGTCGGGATTCAAACCCAGGCTTGTTTTCCTCTAAACCCACAATCAACCATGACCCTCTTCTGAGGGCATTGTGATCTCAGAGACCCCGCTTCCTTAAAGGCTCAGGATCCAGATGACCTCGGTCCTGTGAGGGACACAGTCCTTCACCAGCTGTGCAATTTGGCCAGTAGCTTATTACGAGGATTGGATGAGATAATCCACATGTTGTTAGCACCAGGTTTGGTAGAGAGTGAACCCATAATAAATGAGCTGTGTCAACTACTACCAGAGGATTCAGGGTTAGGAGGCCGTGGAGCTAGGGCTCAAACCAAATTCTTCTGACTTCACCCCGGGCCAGGCTCGCTGGTTGTCCCGGTTCCCTACGTTCTATGAACTGAGTCCGAGATGAACTTGGTGCTGGGCCCACCAAGGGCAGCACCTGGGCAAGGCGGCTGCCTCTCCCAGTGGCTGGGGTCCCAGCACCAAAGAGAAGCTACTGCCTGGGGCGTGGAGAAGGCACAGGCTGGGCCTCATCTGCTCTGCTCCAGGCCGAGGTCAGCTCCATTTTCTGGATGATTTGGGGTAAATCTGTCAGCCCCTCTGGTTTTCCTACATGGGCAATCGAGGCCATGCTGCCCTGCATGTCCCTGTTCTGGGGGCCTCTTGAAGAGAAGAGAACCACCGAGAACAAATGAAATCAAGGAACAGAACTGTCTTGGTGTCATTAAGCTCTGAGAGAGACAGCAACGCCATCAAGAACTCCACCTCAGGAGGAAGGAGACTCACTTCTCCCCAATTTTCTGGGTGGCCCTGTCTTCTCATCTGAATAAGGAGGGGATGACCTTGATTTCTCAGGCCTTTTCTGGCCCGAGGTATGCCCAGTCTGAGACCTTTCAAGTGTGGAGGGAGTCCTGATGAAGGTTTAGGGAGAAAAGAAGCCTCTTTCCAAAGGGGTGACTGGTGGGAGGCAGGAGACCCGGACACCTCTAAGGGGTAAGATAGTGGCAATGCTTGTCATGGCTGCTGTCCCCGGGTAGGTCGGTGGGACAAAAATGATGCTTGCCATCTTCTGGCAAACTGACTGACAGGCCACCTGAGAGCATTCAGAAAGATTCTTCAATAGGAATCATCAGAATCCTTCGGGATGCCTTTCTAAACCGCATACGCCCAGAATCCTCCTCAAACCTACTGAGTCAGAATCCTAAGAGGCTAGAGTCAGGAAGCTGTCCTTTTAGTCAGCACGCCCCAACAGCTCCTAATGCAAAGCCCTTTTCTGAAGAAATCACGGTTATTTCTTCATTTGTAAGCTGATGTTGCAAAACCTGCCAAAGAGCAATCTGGAAACCTCAGAGGAAGGGAACAGTTAGAATGTGCAAGCTTATTCTTCTGCCTTGCTTTTTCACATATTTTACTCTTATCACAGATAATTATTAATACCCAGGTCCAGCATGTTACGGCCTTTTAGTTTTTTTCATAAAGTTTTATTTCCTGACTTCTAAGTAACTCATCACAGACACAGTTTTATGAATTCATAAAACTTTTAAGATATAAAGAAAATTAAACACACTCATAACTGTGCCAGCCAGACAAAGCTGCTTCTGTTTCCTACATAGATTTGAAGTTTTGGGCTTTTTTATTTTATGTTTTCTTTTCCCAAAACTTGGTCCTGTTTTGTACTCCTAGCGGCCGAGGTGGTAAGGGAGGGAAAAAAAGATTTATGTGAAAAAAATTACTAGTGCCTCGAGCCCAGCAAGCTTGTCCAACATGTCGTTATGAGGGAACTCACTCCCTCCGTCCACAAAAGAGGACAAGGAGGTGGCTGGGTAGATGTTCTATGAAGTGTTTGCAGAATAAGAGGTCAAGGCCAACCACGTGAGGCTGACCTGTTTACCTGCCCATCTGCCTTCACCGCCAAACTCAATGCCACTGAGAGACACTGACCCACATCTGCTCCAGCAAATTTGCATTTTTCATCTGACCCTCCTCCTCTGGCAGGGACTGTGGTCACTGGACTAGCAAGTGGCCAACCTACCCACCCCCACCCTGAGACACAGAAGGCCCATCACTGGCCTCTTGGGCTCACTCACCTGCGAGCAGTTGGCATCTCCTCCTTGCCTTTCCCGACTATTGACCTACTTACACCCAGCTACTCAGATAACAAGATCCCAAGTTCAAGAGATGTCACAAGAAGTTGGAGAGAAATGGACACAGAGGTTGGGGTGTTGGTAAGACCGTGAGAGAAACATTTAATAATTCGTGAGAATATTTCAGCACCTCATCTTTAAAAAAAAAAAAAATCACTGATTATAACTAGATAAAAATGGATTCGCTGGGACAGGTTAGAAATCTGACACGGGAGCAGAGTTTAATCATTGGTAATACTGGGAAGAGCTCCTAACTACTGAGCAGCTACTGTCTACTGGTCACTCTGCAGATTTTCTCTCTAACCCTCAAACCTGTGAACTGGTGCAGGACCTGGAGCCAGGTGGCCCCGGTTCTAATCCCAGCTCTGCACTTCCCTGTGCCTCAGTCATCCCAGCTGTAAACAGGGGAATTAGGACAGCAGCTATTTCCTAGGACACTGTGAAGATTAAAGAGACAACTCACGTGAAGGGCTTCAGATCACATCTAGAAGCGGTCGGGGGTGTTAACTAGTATTTGCCCTTGAGAACGGGCTCAGGTGGCACCGGCGCAGCTCGCCTGAACCACCAGCTGGGAAGAGTCAGAGCAGAGAGGACCCCAGGGCTGCCAGGGTCCCTCCTCTCCCTCTCCAGGTGGCCCTCCTGCTCAGAGCAGACACAGAAGCTGAGGGCCATGACTCAGGTGCCCCCCTCCCCAGGCCCCAGCCCCTCCTGGTACCTGTCAGCTTCTCAGCAATGGGCTTGAACTCCTCAGGGCTGATGTACATATCTCGGTCTGTGTCCAAGGAGGAAAAGAGAAAGAGGCCTTCTGCCCCCAGGGCCTTCAGCGCGGACTCCTGCTTTGGAAAAAGGGGCTCCGTTGAGCACCATTTGGATACCCCAGCTGGGGTCCCAACCAGAGGCGGCAGGGCCCAGCACCATCTTCCTCAGTTCTCCCAACACTTCCCAGTCCACCCATCCTAATGTCACCTCTGCACCATCCCGGAGCCCCAGTCCCCTCCCGGTCCCTGCTGGGCCCTGCTTCACTCTGCTCCTTCATCCACTATCCACTAGGCCCAAGGCTGTGCTAGTCTCCTTCTATCTGCCCCGTCCCCATGTGTCACATTCTTCCACCAGTGTCCTCCCCTGTCCCCCCAGCACTGCCCCCCCCCACCAGACTCTCCCCAGTCCCAGCTTCACTCCCACTGTCCAAGCCACTGCTGGGACCACCCCTCGGGTCTGTCTCAGGCCCTGCCTCACGCTGGGCCAGCGTTCTGGCCTTTCTGCACAGTCCTCCCAAGTGTGCTCGACCCGCTTTGTCCCTCCCTTTCATGCCACCCTCCCCGGCCCACCGGTCCCTACTTACCATCCCGCCCCTTCCCCCAACCCGGCCTCCCGGTCCCCTCCCCCCTTCCTCCGAGCCCCCCCGCTCTCCGGACCCCTTCCCCCGCCTCCTCCCAATCCCCCTTCCAACGCCGCCCGGACCCGACCCCAGAGCCTAGGCCCCCGCGCGAGCCCCGCGCTCGCCCTTCCCACCCAGGGCCGGACCTGCCGCGCGGCCGCCTGGGCCTCGTTGTGGCGGGCGTAGGCTCGGGCGGCGGCGGCGGCGGCGGCGGCGGCGAGCAGGGCCCCGAGCAGCGCCAGGGCGCGGGCGCGGCGGGGTGCGGGCTGCGGCGCGGCGGGGTCGGAGCCGGGCCGGGGGCCGGGCGGCTCGAGTTCACCCGGCGGGGCCCGACCCATGGCGGCGGCGGGGCGGCGGACTGGCGGCGGCTGCGGCGGCCGCGGCGGCGGGGCGGGGCGGCCTCCGGGCCGCGGGGTGGGCGCGGGCGCGGGCGCGGGCTGGGAGGCTTCCGGGGGCGCCCGGGGCGTCCGTGCGGGGGCGCCGGGGACTCCCTGCCACCCGCCCTCCAGCCCTTCCTGCAACTCGACTCGCAGTATGAAAGCGGGCCTCAGCGTCCCGTCCAGCCCCGCGGAGGCCTAGGAGGCGGCGGGGCGGGAGGAGGGGGACCGGCGGGGCGGGGGGGTGTCCGCCACCTCCGAAGCTTGCCGGGGAGGGGACTCAGGGCCACCAGGCTTCGTGTCCCCCTCTGTTGGCAGATGTGAGGGAGGCCTTGGGGGGGCACCCCACCCTCCACCCTTATCCCACCTGCTTTCTAAACCGTCTTCACTCCTCCAGAAGAATAAAAACTTACAAAGAAAGTTCTACCCCTAGTCCATTCCCTTCAGGGTCCAGCTGGACGGCGACCACTGCACATATGTCGGGGGCGGGGCGGCTACCTGTGCCAGGCCACACGCAGGTGCTGCGGCCCTGAAACCCCTCACCTGAGGGGCCAGAGTGTCCTCACCTGTTGGGGGTGTGTGTCAAAAGAGGCCCTCTCTGTGGATAGTGGTTTGAAAGAAATCCCTGGGTTGATGGGGCTGGGCTGGCAGCCCCTTGGCACGGGCAAGGCCGGACTGTAACTTACCAGCTACCTCTCCTCTGCTGGAGGTGGCACCATGGCAGGAGAGATTTCTCCAGAGAACAACTCTTGCCGTGCCTGGAGGAGGACCTTGGGGATGCGGGTGGATGGAGTTTGAAAAAACACTTTAGGATCTGTCAGTGTGTTTGGTTCCTGTCTCCAGAAGCCTTTGTTCCCCTGGGGCCCTCTTCCATCATCCCAAGGTCTCCAGGAGCCAGGGGATGGCTCTTTCCCAGGAGAGGGCAGCAACGGTTAAGCCTCTCTCTAGACAACCCTGGCCCCAGGGGAGCAGCTGCACCATCCTTGGAGACCCTCGCCAACCCCAGTCCATGTGCACCTGCCAGGTCCCGGATGTTGGAGGGACCACTGTGTGCTGGACCTGGTGTTGGGAGCTTTATGCTCTTATTTGTTCTCAAGCAACCCGGTGAGGTGAGGACTGTGTGCCCACCCAGGTCTGAGTCCGTTACTCCTGCCCAGCTGCCTCCCAGGAGATGGCCCAGGGGAAGGATTGGGGGAGAGGACTTTCTTCTACTACCACTTTTGTCTTTCATGGATAACCAGCCATGACAGCACCTTGTGGGCGGGGCCCCAGCTTCCCAGAGCCCACAGGGGACCTCACACATGGTAGGTGCGCCAATGTCTTTTGGATGGATGACTCCCTGGGACTGAGACTTGTGGGCTCTGGACCTAGCTTTTGCCCAGAGCTCTGGCCCCAAAGCCTCAGGGGGACCCACGGAGGGCCTGACATCTGCTGTTGGCTTCTGAAGGCTTCCGACCGTGCTACTTCCAACTCATTACCACTAATGTTTGGGGACACCCTGCATATGACAGATGCTATTAGAAAACCAAATTCTGCTCTATCAGGAAGCAAAGCTAACAGAGCACAAAGCAGGTTAGGAGGGGAAGATTGATGAGCCAAGGCCCCTGCAAAATAAATGAGGGAAGTTTTCTTTGCCAGAATACTTTTATTTATTACACTTAGTTCTTATTAAAGACACAGATACCCCACTGATCTCCGTGGTCCAGAGCTGGGGAGATGGGTTGCTGGGATTGGGAGGGCACCGGAGGAGGGTGGGTTTTCAAGACTTGACTTAGGTCAGTGAGCCTCCGGGAAAAGGATCCCTGTTGGGACCCAGCTCTGGGAAGACAGCTCTGGGCATTGGCAATGGAGCCAGACTTGGTGTCCCACCGGTGGCATCCTTCCCAGGAGGCTTGACTCCAAACCAAGAACCTTGGGCAAGGCCAGGACTTTGGAGATTGGGCCAGGAGGGTCGCTCCCATCAGTGGTGGCGCTGCAGGGGCCTTTTGGCACCTTGTCTCTGAGCCTTGAGTGGGCAAGGGGGAGTGCCCTTCCAGCTATGGAGGTGGGTCCTTCCCCTCCCTACTGTGTCCACAGCAGCCACTGGGGCAGACACCCCGGGCGCTCCATCCACCTCCTGGAAGACAAGGCAGGGCCGGGGGCACTGCCTCGCACCCTCGCCTGTTCTCTCTCTCTCTCTCTCTCTCTCACTCACGCACACACACACACACGTGCACACACACCCCTGCCTGCCCTCCAGTAGCATCTTCTCTTCCTCTTGCTGTTTCACTGGGGCAGACTTGCTGGGGAGAAGCTCTCCGGGGAGAAGAGCAAATTAGGGTTTTCTTTTTCTTTTTTTTTTAAAAGATTTTATTTATTTGACTGACAGAGATCACAAGTAGGCAGAGAGGCAGGCAGAGAGAGAGGAAGGGAAGCAGGCTCCCTGCCGAGCAGAGAGCCTGATGCGGGACTCGATCCCAGGACCCTGAGATCATGACCTGAGCCGAAGGCAAAGGCTTTAACCCACTGAGCCACTCAGGTGCCCCGCAAATTAGGGTTTTCGACTCCAGCTCTAGGAGGATAATGACCTGGGGTTCCAGGAGGAGGAAAGCCATCTGCTGCTGGGTTTTGTGCTTTTCCTCCAGCTCTAGGAACCTGGATAGGTAGAGAGGTTTTTTTCCCGGACCCCAACCCCTGACCTGTTGCTGCCCAACCACAGGACCAGCATTTGGGAGCAAAATGCCACTTGGGAAAGGGGAGGCTTTAGCTGCCTGTACCACGGGAGTCTCCCAGCAAGTTCAGGTCCTACTGTGTGCCCGGAACTAGTCTAGGGTCCTGGCACACAGTGTGAAGACAGACGAGGTACTTCCTCTTTTGGAGCTGAATATTCTAGCAGGAGAGAGGTGATACACCTGCAAAGAAGATGATTTCAGATAATGGTGACTGTGAAGGGGTGAGACAGGGAGGGTCAGGCAGCTTCCCGAGGACGTAGCATGTCCACAGCCGCTGGGATGGAAAGGAAAGAAGAGGCCAGAGCAGAAGGGAGGGCCTCCCAGGCTCAAGGGCCAGCACAGAGGTCCTGAAGAGGAAACAAACTCCGTGTGTTCAGGAAACGTGAGGAAGGCAGGGCGGGCTGTGTGGAGGAACTGGAAGGGTTGGCGGGAGAGCGGGGGCCGGGGCCCCAAGGACGTTGCAGGCCACGCAACAAGCTGCCGGTGGATACGATGGAAACTGTGGGAGGCTTTTTAACAGGGTAGGGATGTGTCCTTTGTTTTTATTTTTATTACTTTTTTAAATTAAACTTTTATTTTAATTCCAGTGTAGTTATCTGATGTGTCTTCAAACAGAACTTTTCCAGTAGCCAAAAAAGAGAGATACCCCCCCAGTCTCCACTGATGAGTGGATGAACAGAATGTGGCCAATCCACACGGTGGAGGTTTCAGGGCAATAAGGTGGAACGAGGCTCTGTGACCTACGATGACATGGACAAGCGTCGGTCGTCACGCCGCACACAGAGACTGCACACCTACTGTAGGATTCCATGAGGGTGGCAGGTCCTGTAAGGCCAGTCCGGAGTCAGAAAGTAGATTCATGGTTGCCTGGCTCTGGAGTGGGGGGTAGGCAGTGGCTGCTGATGGGCACAAGGCTTCTTTCTGGGGTATAAATGTTTTAAAAAGGACATTATGGTGATGGCTGTACAAATCTGTGAGTACATTACAAAAACACGAATTGTACACTTTTAGTGGGTGAGCTTTATGACACAAACATTATGTCCCGATAAAGCTGAGGTTTTTTGTTTGTTTGTTTGTTTTGTTTTTTAAGACTTTTCTGGTTTCCGAGTAGAGAACAGAACAAGGGGAGCCGGGGTAGACAGAGGGAGCAGGGGAGGCTGGTTCAGTCTCAGCCCAAAGACATCGGGCCCTGGGTGGAGCAGGTCGTGCAGCCCGTGTCAGGTACACAATGGCGCCTTCCTTCCAGAGGTAGGAAAGCCTGCGAGGCCCAGGCTGCCGTGTGGACATGACCCTGAGCTGCTGCAGTGTCGGGGGAGGGGACATGTGCAGGAGTCTGCAGCTGTGAGCGATGGGGACCATAAACTTGCGAGTCACCAGCCTATAAATGACACTAAAGCCACAGGAGTCAATGAGATCATTGAAGGAGAGAGAAGAGGCCCTTGGTCTGCGTGGCCTCAGCAGCGGGTACGTGGCCACAGATGTGGCCTTGCCTCCACGTGCTGAGTGGCTTCGGTTGGATGCAGGGGCACAAGGCTGATGCCATGATTAGCCAGAAAAGAGATGAATTGTGGGAGTCACGACTGCCTTTGGCTAGGCTCTCGTCCTGTCCAGTCAGGGAGACCTACTTCCTGGGGTCAGGCAAGGCCCCCCAGGACTCTGCCCACGTGGACAGCTTTATTCTCAGCCCCATGGGCACAGGGCTGGTCACCTACTTGCTACTAGAATCACCTGGCCGCCCGGCGGCTCTGACGCACGGTCTGGGTTGAGCATCACTGGGCCGGAGGGAGTCCTAGCTGAGTTTTCCTCGGTGGGGCGGGGGATGGGGGGCGTTCTGGAGTGCTGAGCAGGGAATAACAAATCCAGAAGAATTTTTCCTCCTTATTAAAACATGCTTCCTCCCATCCTGTCGCTCCTTCAGGACTGGAGGCCAAGCTCTCAAATACAAAGACAGGCAAGTTTCATGCAAGCTACAAAGAATGAGTGGGATATTTGGGGGCCTTCAAATGGTTAGGTCAGGCCCAGGAAGACGGTGCTGGGTCAACAGCCTCGAGCTCTGCTCCTCATGTCTACTCTGAAGTATGGCTGGGGCCAAGGGGAGAACAGGGGTTGGGATGGTCCAGCTTCCGGTTTGCCCAGGATGGAGGGGATGCCGAGGCTGGGGGCTGCTCAGAGTTCTGGGCAAGCTGGGAGGAGCTGGCCCCCTACCATGGGAAGGACTCGTCTCAGGGTCCCTCAAGGTGCTTACTCGTA